AGTACAAGATGTGTCTGTGAAAGTGGGAGATGTGGAGTGCAGCTACAGGATGTGTGTGTGTGTGCGCGCGCGCGCGCGTGTGTGTTCATGTGTCTGTGTGTTTGTCCGTGTTTAGGGATGAAACTAGAGAAGCTGCTCTGAGCCAGGTTGTGAAGGGAGTTTAATGCCATACTAAAGAGATAGAATATTGTCCTGAGGTTGGTGGAGTTCCAGGCTGAGAAGTCTTTTTTTTTTTTTAAGATTTTATTTATTTATTTGACAGAGAGAGATCACAAGTAGGCAGAGAGGCAGGCAGAGAGAGGAAGGGAAGCAGGCTCCCCGCTGAGCAGAGAGTCTGATGTGGGGCTTGATCCCAGAACCCCGGGATCATGACCTGAGCTGAAGGCAGAGGCTTTAACCCACTGAGCCGCCCAGGTGCCCCCAGGCTGAGAGTCTTAAAGCATGAGAGCAGTATTGTCAACTTCTCAAAAGGCAGAATATGCATGATATATGGAGACGGACTGGAACTGGAAGATGAGCTCAGGTGAGTACGGGTCAGAAAGATTATTTATTCAACCAGTATTTATGAAGTATAGACAATATGGCAGAGAACGATGAACAACAAGCACATCTCCCTATTTCATGGAGATTAATAGAGAATTAGTCACATGCAAATGGCCTGTTGTAATGTGATTTATAATAAGAAATATTTATTTGGTCTTCAACCCAGTTCCTAAAGCACAGAACCCCTAAAATCCTTGGAATTTCCTGTGATCAGAGCAGTAACTGTGTCTTTTGTTACGTTAATAAGGTGACTTGGGGTAAGCCCTCAGCTAACCTGAGATGCTGGCTGGTTGCCAAGGGAACCAACCTTGTGATTTGGAGATTTGGAACTTCGGATACCCTCCCTTCACAAACCTCCAGGCAGGGAGGGCGCTGGAGGTTGAACCAGTCACCTATAGTCAGTGATTTAATCAATCATGCTTATGTAATGATGCACCCATTAAAAACCCCAAAGGACAGCTTTCAGAGAGCTTCTGGGTCAGTGAGCTCCAGGTATCTGGGGAGAGTGGAGTGGTGCTCCAAAAGGCTATAGAAACTCTGCACACTCCCCATACCTTGACCTATTAATTTCTTTCATTTGGCTGTGTCTGGGTTATATCCTTTTTATAATAAACTTAATCCACTGAGTAAAATGTTTCTTTGAGTTCTGTGAGCTGTTGTAGCAAATTAACCAAACCTGAGGAGGGGTCATGGGAACTTCTGATTTATAGCCAATTGGTAACAAGCTGGGGTTGTGACTGATGTCTGAAAGGGTGTGTGTGTGGGGTGGGGGGACCCAGGGGGCAGAGGACCAAGCCCTTAATCATTCAAGAAAACCTCCTATATCTTGGGAAGAACAGTGAGTCTGCAGTGTTTGAACCACGACCTGCTCCCCACCTGCCCTCCACCAGTTCCATATGAGGAAAGCTCAGTTCCTGATGGACCCAGCCAAGAGTCTGATGTTGTCTCTACATAATCCTGTCAGAGCAGAGTTGAACGGCAGGCCACCCAGATGTTGTGTTGAACAACAGGACACCCAGATGTTGTCTGGAGAATTACTTGGTGCTGTGTGGGATACCTCCCCCTTCACATTCTGGGATTGGTTTCAGGACCATAATACCTAGGATCCTATGAAAAGGTGATAAACTTTCTAGTTCTCAGAAAAATGCAAAGTAAAACTGCAGTGAGATACTACCACTGTCCATTAGAACGGTGAAAACGAAAAAGCCCAAGAATACCAGTGTTGGCAAGGACGGAAAGCAAACTGAATTCCCAAACACCGTCGGTGGCCATATCTACTAACACTAAACATATACATATCTGGTTAGCCAGCAGTTGGCACTGTTAGATAAAAACCTAATGAGAAATGTATTTCAGGTCAATGTATTCTGCTCTGCATGTCTTGACAAGACATGAGCAAGAATATTATAGCTGCACGATTCAGAATAGACCCAAAGTGGAAACCATCCAAATGTCCAGTGGCAGAAGGATAGATAATTTGTGATATAGCCACACAAATATTTGAATAACAACTAAAATGACTGAACGTTACTTCACTCAACAACTTGAAAGAATGTCAGAAACAACATTGAACAAAGAAGCCAGACATGTGGGTATATAGTCTTTGACTATATAAAGTTCAGAAAAAGGCAAGACTAATCTATGATATTAGAAGTTAGGAAAATGGCATATGGGTAGCGATTGAAAGGAGCTACACAGCGGGGGCTTCTAGAAGGCTTGTAATGTTTTATTTCTTGATCCTGGCCGCTTGTTACATAGTTGTGTTCCATTTGTGAAAACTTATGTCCCTATACGGCATACACTTGGGATTTGTATGCTTTTCTGTATCTATATTATGCTTTTCCATATGAATATTATATTTCTTCTAGAAACAAATTCTGATAATTAGTATTGATGTTTACTAGTTCACTTGAGGAAAACTCACTATTATCTGAAAGTCACAGTTGGGTTCTTCATCTCTCTGTGTATTAGTGCCTGCTTGTTTTGTTGTGAGAACATCACCAACTAATGAAATAAAGTTAGAAAAAAGTTAAAGAAATCTGTTCCTGTATGGTTAAGCATGTGAATTCTATTTAGAAAATTTGTTAACGATAGCAAGGTGAGGTACTAGGAAGGGTTAAGGCCATGACAGAGGGGAAGATAGCCTTGGTTTGGGACATGGGTCAGTGGTTGACTGGGTACGGTTACCACTGACAATAAGTTTCTGATTTAGGATACAGAACATTTGACATCAGCAAGATCAATTAGCAGGTGCCAGGATACATGGGGAGGGGCTTAGTTATGTTATTTTCTAAGATGGGGCTGGGTATCTGCATTAGGGTTTTGGAAAAGCGCCTGAAGCTCTGAGAGGGATTTGGTGATCATTTGGATGGTAATTGAGGCACTGCATTTATTGAATAGATGCTATTGTCAGCACTGCTAATTAGCTCTCATGAGGTAATTACCATTATCTCTCCTTACACTTACGGGGAGACTGAGGCACAAGAGTTAAGTAGTGTGCCTTAGGTTATGCAAACAGTTAATTAGTGCCCAGGCCAGGATTCACAACCAAGTCTTTTACTCCAAGGGCTGTTCTCTTTGCTATAACATCGTACTGCTTCTCCAGTCAAGAATGAATCTGGGGAGGATTGAGACTTTTGGAACAGCAGTCTGAGAAACTCAGCAGACCCTCTTCAATGAAACAACCCTTTAAGTGGTAATAAAAAAATACGAAAAATAATTAAAGTCATTGGAAATTGACGTGAGGATGTAGAGCAGATGGAGAAGCATTCAAGAACACCTCCTAAATCTTAGTCTGCAGTATTTGAACCACGACCTGCTCCCCACTTGTCCTCCACCAGTTCCATATGAGAAAAGCTCCGTTCCTGATGGATGCAACCAAGAAGACAGGACTCGCTGTTCCCCAACCCCAGCTGTAGTTTAGGGCTAGGAGTTAGACCACCTGCTATGAAAAATACTGTAAGTATCAGAAGGAAAGGAGGGAGGGAAGGGGAGACAGAGAGAGAGAGGGAGAGAGGGAGAGGAGGGAGGGAGGGAGAGGAAAGGTGAGAGAGAGAGAGAGAGAGAGAGAGACACTAATCTATACATTCAAGAAGCCCAGCCCTGTCCTCCCCACTCCTGTGGCTGCCAGGCTATTTGTGTCTCTGTGAAGCAGGCTGGGGACGCCTGCAACCACAGTGAGGCCTGCAGTTGGGGTGGGGACTTGGGTGTACGGTCTGTTAAATAACACAAAACTTGGTGTTCTTCCTGAGATTCAGCAACTTTCCTTGAATATATGCTCCCTGGATTGCTACAAGCCTTTGGTTAATTTCCAGAGTTCTGTCCATTTGTGTAGTGGGTTTTCTCATTGCTTTGATGGAGGAGAGAATTTTTGGAGGCCTCTTTTTGCTGACATCCCAGTTGCATTTTTGTAGGATTTTTTCTTAAGATTAATTAGTGGCTCTTTATAGTTTGGAAATCTAAAAGCCCATCCATAAGGATCAACTAAAAAAAGAAACCACGGTGTATCTTTATAGCAGAGTATTGTGTAGTTGTTAAAAGAAAGATGTAATTTTAACTGTGCTTATAGAGAAGATTTTTCTTCAAGGAATAATGCTAAATGAACACAAGTTGCAAAATAGTATGTGGTATTCTATTTGTGTAAAGTATTGAATAAACAAGAGGAAAAACACAGGTGTGTGCTATATATATGTGTGTGTGTAGAACATTTCTAAAGGAATACAAAAAAAGAATATAATGTTTTCCTCTGGGCCATAGGAAGTGGAGGCTGCTTTTTAGATCTTCACACCACTTACTATTATTTGAACTTTTGAGTATTACTTTGAAATAACTTTAAAAAGTCATTGAATATTTGTTAGTTTTAAACTACCAATAGGATATGTGTTAGTTTAGGTCTGCAAATTAAAGATTGCAAGATCTTAAAGACATTTGTGTTCATAGTCTACCCCCCTCCCTTTTGCTTCTCTGAAGTGAGCACTTGTGATGTAGTTTCAATGCTTAGGAAATCCTGTTGCCTGAAAACTTTAAAAATAATTAATTCACTTTTAGTTTTGATCAGCTGGGGTAATCCACAAGTAGCGGTAATGACTAACCTGTTCCCTTTTCACTCCAGCGATCTTCTAGACTTTGTACATTAGTATCCACGCCCCCTGAACAAGTCACTGTCTTTTTGTAAGAACAGTAATAGCCATACTCTGTCACCTTTATTTTTATCTTTGAAAGAGGAGGAATAATCACTCAGTCCTGAAACATCATGAGTAGGTATAATTTAATTATCTGAATTGAAAATCTTCCTGTCAACTGGAGGAAAAAAAACCCAACCAGTGTGTACACATAGGTTCTCCAGGGAGTTTTTGGTTAGCTACACTATGAAATCCTTCAGATTTCATAATATATCTTGTCTCATTTTCCTGTTATGAAATGAGGTTTACAGCCTGGCTTTTCTTGTCTCTTTTCAGATCACAGAACTGTGTGGTGCAAAGCGAGTTGGTTATTTTGGTCCAACACAGTTTTACATCGCCTTAAAACTGATTGCGGCGGCACAGTCTGGCCTCCCTGTACGGATAGAGAGTATTACATGTGGTAAGTGTCTCCCATTTATACATTTTATTGTCCATGACCAGTGTCTTTTTTTTTTTTTTTAAAGATTTTATTTATTTTTTTGACAGAGAGAAATCACAAGTAGGCAGAGAGGCAAGAGAGAGAGAGAGGAGGAAGCAGGCTCTCTGCAGAGCAGAGAGTCCGATGTGGGGCTCGATCCCAGGACCCTGAGATCATGACCCGAGCTGAAGGCAGAGGCTTAACCCACTGAGCCACCCAGGCGCCCCTGACCAGTGTCTTTTTTATGAGAACCGTTTTTAGTGGGCTTAAGGCCTGTTCTGTAAGCATTTGTGGAATTTCTCCTTGCTTCTTCCCACTGTTGTAAAATAAAGAAAACTTAGCAGGTATCTTACTTTTTCTTTTTCTTTTTTTTCTTTATGAAATGGGAAAAAAATTCAGAGAATGACCTGAGATTCATGCCTTTTTAAATTTTTTTTTAATTTTAGATTTTTTTTAGTGTTTTGTTTGTTTGTTTTTTTAGATTCATGCCTTTTAATGGACTTGAAGTTAAAACAGATTTTATTCTTTAGCAGGAGATCAGGACAGGAATGCTAGAGCCTGTGGCAAAATAATAACATTTAGCTTTATTTTCCTCTTGAGGAATATATAATGCCATTTGGAGTTCTGTTAGGGACAAGGAGACAAATACATGGGAGAGTTTGAGTGGAACCTACTTCTACTTCCTCTCCTGTCCCTGCGAGGCATATCATACATGATCGTCCTTCAGTCTCCCCCAATACCTGAAGCACTCTTCTAATGATCAGTAAGTATTATGGAGCTACCAAAATTTTGGCATAATGAACTTCGCTTCTCAAAGTTTTGATTTAATGTTTTCTTATCTTGCTATCCCTGTCCCCAACCGGGTGACTGAACACTGCACAACTTAAACAAAAAGCAAAGCCCCAAACTTAGCATCATTTATACTGCCTCAATATTGGGCTTACAGTTCTTTATGAAGAAGGTAGATTATTCCTGGGCCGTGCTGAGGTCCTCTGTCCATTTACTCTGATCTAAGTTACTCTCATAAATTCACACAGCCATGCAGGAGCTTCTTCCTTTTCCTCATTTTGAGATTAAAACCACGCAGCTGTCCATGCCTGTCCTGTAAAGTCCTTGGTAAACCTCAGAGTGGGTTCAGGAAACTTGTAGGACAACTCTTGAATAGCTGAGAAGAGTCTGATAGCTGGACTATGGGAAATAAAGTACTTTTGCACTAACCATCAGGAAGCCACAATCATCCTGCTAATCTTTATTAAAGGCTTAGTGTCTGCCAGAAACCATCTCATTTAGTCCTCCTGACAGCCTACTGCATTAGGTGTTTGTGTTCGCTTGCATTGCCTAGGATGAAGTGTGAAACAAATTCCACTGAAATCCCAGTGCCCTAACAAAATGCAGGTTCTCTTCCTGCTTTGCAGTGGGTCACAGTGACCCTCTAGGGCAGCTGCCCTCCACGTGGTGGCTTCATGATCCCAGCTACCTTCTCTTGCAGCACTCCCCCCTCCCCCGGCAAGCACCTGTTCCTATAATTGCAGCAACAGAGAAATTGTTTCTCACCCTAGCAGTTAAATACTTGGTCCTGGATATGACTCTCCTTACTCCTGCTCACGGGCCAGAACTTGTCACATGGATCCACTGAACTACACCACTCACTGAGGGTGGTGTAATTCTCTCTTGTGCCTGCAAGGAGAAGACTGGCTGTGGATAAACACTGGAAGTCTCTCCCTCCATCTGTCTGTACCCACTAGACCAGGCCACCTTCAGCCACTCACTCGGATATCACAGTGGTTTTGTCATCGATTTCCTGGCCTCCTCTCTTCTCTCTTCCAGTCTCTTTTCCCATGTGGCAGTAGGAATGATCTTTTCATCCGTCTCCTCGAAATCCTCCCCTGGTTGGCTCGTTGTACATCAGACTAGAATCAAAGTCATTACACTCATCTTTAAGGCCCTAAAGTAACCTAGTCTCTTCTTCTCCATCCTTATCTTAAACTTGCCCCCTCCTCTTGTGTTCACAGTCTGTAGCTGGACCTCACTGGCCTAGCCATTTCTGGTGCAGGAAAGACCATGTCATCTCAAGGTCTTCGGTTCCCCGCAGTCTATTTCCCCCCATCTTTTTCCAGTGGCTGGCTCTTCCTGCTCATCCTTCAGGATTTGTGGACTGCCCCACCATTCTGTGTAAAGTAGGTTTTGTCGAATTAATTCATTAATGAAGGAACCAGCATAGAGTAAAGCTGGTTCAAGAAAGTGTAGGAGAGTCAGAAATATTTGTAGTCATGGAAGGAAAGAATGATGGAGTAAGATTGCTAAATTACATATAAAATTGGTGAATACCCTGTAGAGCAGTAAAACTATAACTTGGTTATTATACTCTTTTCTAAGATGAAATTCACTTGCATTGCTATTAGACAAGATTAGTTAGCTACCAGTTTTCTACCAGTGAAGTTATAGAATGTGTAATGAAGAGTGAATAGTAAGTCAAAGCAAAAATTCAGATCCCTAGGGAGTTAGGTAATCCTTAGATGGGTTAATCCTGTTAAGATAATGCTTCTGGGTGGCAGTCCCCTCCCTACTTTACTCTCTGCCCCTATCTGCTCCTTTATAGCACTTTTATCAGTTTGTAAATACTCCTTTACAAGTTTGACTAATTTCTGTCTTCCTCACTAGTCTGCAAGCTTACCTGAAGGGAGGGAGGAGATCTGTGCTATGGAGCACTGTGGACACTCGGGGTGTGTTTGTTGAGTGAGTGAAGAGATGAGTGCTTCTTCGTGGGGCCTGAGTCTTAATTATCTGTCACTTTTTAAGCTCAAACAGTTGGATTTCAGATTCATCCAGAACTCCTAAGGGGCTTCTAAAGAAGTCTTTCTAAGGCTGTGGTTCCCAGCCTCGTTTGCACTTGAGAATCTGCTGGAGAGCAGGTGCTAGGGGCCACCTCCAGAAATTCTCATTTAATTAGCCTGGGCTGCAGTCTGAACATAAGGATTTTTAAGAGCGTCCCAGGTGATTCTTATTTGGAGCCAGGGTTGAGACCACGTTCTAATGAAAGCTGAGTGGAGCATTTTCAAGAGCTTTGCTTAAACTATGAGTATATATTCTGTGATAGCAGGGCGTAACTGGGGTGAGGCCAGAGGCACCCAGAGTACATAACTTTAAGGTGGAACTCATTCTTAGGACTGTACAAGTGCTGATTCTCCATTTACATAATCAGGTCCCTGAGAGTAACCATCTCTTTAAATGTTGGCACTAAGTCTCTCTCTAGCCTCACCCTATTTGGCTTGTTAAACGGATGGTATAAACCTTACAATGATATAGGAGGACAGAAGGAAGGGGTGAAATTGAGGGCCAGTGGAGAATTCCTGATGAGGAAAGTACATGGTGGATATTTGCCTCGGGAGCTGTTGTCCCTTCCTTTGTGAAGACTGGTCCTAACAGGGTGTGAGGACTGAGGGAGATAGGTAGGGCTGAGGTGGGCTCCTTTGGCAGTCTGATACTTCTTGGAATAATGTTTTAAGTGTATACAAAGACCTAGGAGTCGAAAGAAAACCAGTTATTTTGAAATTAAAACTAAAGCTTTTTAAAAAGTGTTACATGGCAATATACATACTTCATTAATGCATGAAATAAGAGACCGAACAGTGACCTAAGTAACTAGCATACTTTCAGAGCAGTGAGGGGCATAAACAGTACTTCAAGATGTCTACGACAAGTGTAGTGTGATATATAAATAGCTGATCCCGCTGGTGACAGAGTTACAGGTGCTGCTAATGATACTACAGCGTTTCGTGGCCTACGTTCATGATCGAAGGAAATGCTAACTTGCAGCTAGGCTAGGGAGAATAAAGACACAATGTTTTTTCTTCACTGAGATGACTGGCCCCATGATTTCTTTCCACAGTCCCTCTGGGAGTCTCTGAATCCTAATAATGCAGTAACGTGGTTCACATAGCCTCTGGGGCTGGGCTCACCAAACTGGTTATTGATCTAGCGGCAGGCTGGCGCAGTCTGTAGTGAAAGGAGAAAGAATTAGGACAAAAGAGTAAGTTATTTACAAAATGAAATACATTCAATTCTAAGGTTTTTTTTTTAAAAAATTAAATGCCCTTTTATGAAATT